ACCATGAAATGTGCCCATTGAAATGAAAAGTGGTCATTATTTTTTAAAGATGGACTTAAAATGGAAGAAAGAGGAGGATCAGTAAGAGCGCAAACAGAATCAGTAAAGAAGTCATAACTGAGTAAAAGCTTACAGGTTAAAAGAGAGTTGAAAACAGCTGCCCATTACCAAAAAGAAGTTGAAAGGATTACCAGAGACGAACTAATGATTATTGGGACTTATAAAGTCAGAAACATACTGCTTCTAATTTAAGAAAATCATATAACGTTTTTGGTAAAAAAAAAAAGAAAAGAATTAGAGCTCAATATATGACAACATTGTGGCCCGGTGAAGTTAAAAAGTAATTTGAGAAATAAGACTCTTTGGAAGAGGGCTAGTAGTCGCGCTCTACTAGTGGGGAGTAATGACCCTCCTCCCTCTCCCAGTTTCCTGAGTTCAATACATAGCGCACTTACACACAACAAACCAAAACACAATACATTAACACTGATAATAAGGACAATTACAGTACACACCTCAGGGTCACCTTTCCTGAGAAAACTCAATGCCGGGAGTATAACTGGCAATCCTGGGTCCCTGGGTAAGAGGCCTTCATCTTTGGGCTAATCACCCCTATGGAGCATAAAATGATTCATAGGAATAAATGCAGCCTCGGATTTGGAGTCTTACGGTTATAGACAGGGCAAGGAAAAGGAACTACAATTGGCTACTTGGAATGTAAGATCACCCATAGGAAAGGTAAATGAACTGATTGAAGAAATGAAATCATTTAGTCGACTTAATAGGATTGCGTGAAATTAGGAAAAGAGAAAATGGACACCTAACATTGCCAGATGGATACAATCTAATATGCTACATAGTCAATGAAAGAGAAAGAACAAAGGAAGGAGTTGCTTTTGTGATGGGAGACGAATTATATAAAAGAATCAAGTCATGGGAAGCAGTCTCACCAAGTAAAATCACAATAGAGATAGAATTATGAGTCGGTCAAGTCACAGTGATACAGGCGTATGCTCCAGTTGAGGATGCTGCAGTCTTTAACATAAACCAGTTCTATGAAGATTTGCAAAGACCAGTAGCTAATGCAAGAACCAAAAACAGGATGATACTGATCTGTGTAGATTTAAATGCTAGAACAGGCAATTATAAAGAAAATGCACATGGAGTAATAGGATCCTGGGGAGGTTAAAACGTAGAAAATAGTAATGGCCGACTCATAGAATTCTGTATAGAAAATAATTTGCTTATAGGAAACTCGTGGGTTTAATCATGAAACAATACGTAAGATCACTTTCGAGAATAGGTTATGAGAAGAAGTGTCTATTTCATTGTGGAACGAGACCTCAGAAGTTTCATCACAGACTTTATTCATAAGGGACACAGAACTTAGTACAGACCATAACCTATTAGTCACTGATACTAAAGCTATTAATCCAAGGAAACTGAATAGCAAAGTATTTAATAGAATCGATGTTAAACTGTTGAAAATGGAAACCAAACAAGAAGAGTTTAGAACAATGATGGAGAGCCTTCTTGTGGAAACAGAAGAAAATTCCAAAAGATTAGGAAGTTATTGTCCTAATCTATAATGCACCATATATCGCTGATATAGCCCGAGCCAGGTATATATCCTTTCATGATAAACTCCAGTCCCATCCGAATCTACTTGTTCCCAGCCTTGCTTCTTCCTCGATTCCTGATAATCTCCCTAGGCGTCTGAAAAGAAGATGGCCTCATGATCTTCTTACCTAGAATTAAATAGGGAGTGCTATCACTGGGAAGTATCTTTTCAAGTATGTTCATGTCATCATTTCTAATGTGTGCATTTTTACTATTTGTGAATTTCATTAAATAAATAACGAAAGTATCTTATTTTTGCCATGGGACATTTTAGATAAAGAGTAGGAAATGCAGGTGTACTTTGTTGACCTTACAAAATCCTTTGACTGAACGAGGAAGACAAGATATCTCAAGACCTTAAAAAAGAAAGAAATAGACCAAGGTCCTGGTCCAAGGGAATTTTCGGTAGTAAAGAACAAAAATTTTAATCAGTCAAGTATTCTATAAAACTTAAGAACAATAATATTACTTGTAATACAACTTACTATTAGAATAACTGAAAATGTTTTTAATTTTCTAATATAATCTAGAATCTCTCCATCATTTATTCAAGGTCTCCTGTTTTATTGTTAAAAAGTATCTTTTCAAGCATTTTAATTACTATAATATATTTTTTGGACCTATAACAAAACAAAGTAGTGTAGATACAATATCCCGAACTTCTGTTTATAAAAAAAATGTATCGGCCAATATAAAATTCATGACAGTTGTCCATTATTTATTAGTTGCCAATGCTTTGGTATTATACCTGATGGCGTAGATATGAACACTATGTTATATTGGTAAATTATGTTCTTTATAAATAAATTTAATATCTATATTGGTATAAACGTCAAGAACAAGTAATAAATAGAGTAATGATGTATTTCATTTTGACTACGACTGCCACATGAACAAATCTTGAAGTAACACAGACAGTAAAACAACTTGTGCCTAATGTAAAAACCTTGTTGTGATAAAAAAAGAAGTTATGATAAAAACATATTTTTGGAGGGTAAACACTTATAAAAACTTTTATATTATTTAATAACAAATTTATATTAGAGAAAGAAATCACTTATTACTGAAACTTTAAACAAATGCAATTGAAACAATACCAAAATAAGATATATTTATATTCTATAAAGCATAATTTACATGTAACCTTATATTTATGGAACAAATAGATTATACAACTTCATGCACATATATATGATGTTTAAACATACAAATACGCGCATGGCAATAAACACACAATATCATTTAAATTTTACCTCTTCTGGAAGACGTTTCACACACTCACAGTAGTGGTGAAATGTAATTATCTGTAATTTTTTTTGTAATACTTTTTTCACAATATCATGAATACTTATGGTCTACTGGGTCACTGGAATCACAGATGGTTTAAAAGTTTCTATTATTATGTTTTCAACAAGGAAGCTCCAGACTATTTTAATTGAACAAATTCCAAGAGATTATAATCTATATTATCACAAGGGGGAAATATATATATATAAATATATCATCAATTTAAAAATGTGAATATCAAAAAATATTCAATTAGTTGAAATTTCCCTTTTTACAGAACATGTATGTCATAAATATATCATCATCCTACATGAGAGAATTACAAATTAAATTATACTCTCTTTAACTTACTCTCCACCAGTGTACAGAATATTTCATGATATTTCAATACTATACAAAGTTGCTTTCCTAGTGTTCAATAATGATCCATATATATGTTAAAATTCAGTAATTGCTACCTTAAAGACTAGAGATTACAAAACAAGTTTACAAAAATATACATCCATCTTCTGAACATCTTTTTTTTTTTTTTTTTAATACATATATATATATTTAAAAGCAGTATAAATCTATTTTTCATTAAAAAGAAAAGACAGGAAATATTGGCACATTTTATAAGATGGTACAAAATGTTTATAAACATTAAACTTGTTAATTTCAGACAGTTATAATTATTAATAAGTAGTTTTTACTTCAGGAAGAGTATAGTAGTTGTATAAGGATTTGCAGACGGAATCATCACATTAAAAAAAAAAATTAAAAAACAATAGTACAACTAACATACAATATGGCTTACAGTACACTTTTGGTCTCGTATCACAATATATATTATATATTTACATTTAAAAAAATAAAAGGCATTTTACAGAAATGCACCGCTGACATTACAATTTTATGATAAATGCAAAGAGAATCAATAGCACCCCAACCGCTTGTTCAAACTTTTATAATGGTCAATCAGCAAGACCTGCCTCCAATAAAACTCTTAATCTTTAATATTAACTAGTAAATTGCTTAAAACAGATTCCTCATCAAACTCAATATTTAAAAAGTTAAAGGAGACATTAATGTGGAAAACAATTAGGTGAATCGCATAAAACGTAATAAGTAAAGCATTTTTACTGCATTTATAAATTATTTCTCAAGACTTAGAATTATTTTGTTCAATTTCAAAGAAAAAAAAGTCAATAAACTTACTCAAGGCACTAAGTAAAATTATTTATTTTATAAATTTGAATGAAAGGTTTTGACATTAAAATTGAAAATTATTTATAATTCTCTTCATAGCCATTTTTTTCACACTGTTAATACTTTCTATTTGATAAATTCAAACAGATATAAGTTGGATTGAAACAATAAATTTCATTATCTATTACAAGGAACCTCTGCGGCTAGATTACATATAATCAATAGATTCCCATTCAAAACTTGATAGTATTTATCATTTTCTTTAATGGTATACAAATAACTAATACTAATCATTAGGTGAAATGAAAATCAAAAGTAAAAAAATAATTTTATGATTTTAAGTAAAGCTGTCCACTTACTTTATTGCAAATTTGACTAAATTTTAAAAGGAAATAACACTATAATTCGGTAAAATTATCTATATATATTAGTACGATAATAATCAGATTTAAAAGTACTTTTGATCATTCATAAAATAGACAAATGAATAAGAAAAAGTTGCAAGAAAAATTAAAGTATTAGTCTAATAGTAAGTTCACCATGAAAAAGTCAATGGATTCTACAATAACTAACACTCTTGGACGGCAAAGCAATCATTCCAATATTAATACTGAATAATAGTCTGCTTAGTTTGGAAAGAATACATCAATATTTGAGCAATAATTTGTTCGTTTGACAGTCTATGTATTGTGCTAGTTTAAATTTAAATTGATGAAGATAGAATGCTACTTATTTGTTCTTCAAAAAGTGAAACATTAGAAATTCCTCCTTTATTTTTTTTCACTGTAATACTGATTAGAAGAAAACTTTAAAATGAAGATTTAGCTAATATACAATCCATATAAATATATATTAACACACATGTGTATTAATACATATGTATATATATATATTTAAACAAATTCAAGAGAAGAAATAGAAAATTAAAAAACGGAAAACCGGAAACGATAGATTGATATTATATGAAGACAAATATTTCACATGGAATGGATCCATGTTTAGCTTCCCAACATTACTGTTCTTGATAAATTTAACATTTGTTTTAAAAAACCAAATCAGCTAATAAAAACTTTATAAATACATATATACCTATATGTAAAAAGCCACCAACAAGAGAATTTAGTGTCAGTAATTTAGATACATTCCTTATTATAAAGGTATAGCTCGAGTGAGTCCTATACACGTGCAAGATGCAGACCCGTGACACGTTAGTAGCATTAGCGGCTGGCTGGCTGAACCATTGAGCACACAATGGCTGGAACTACCTTTCAGGGAACAGGGTTTCATACGCAGGTGGGAGGTCTTTGTCTGGAGACTCAGGAGGCGGTGCCGTCGGGCTCACCTGTTCGAGCTCCGTGCCTGCCCGATGGTGATCTTGTGGGGCAGCTTCTGACCAACAGAGCATATCAAAGTACCTACAAAGCATGATGCACCCAAGAAATAGGAAGAACGACAGGAAGATGGAAGTGACTGCTGTAACATAGACTTTAGTATCCAGGCCCTTCTCAAATTCAGTTGGATCTGAAATAATGAATACAGATATATTTAAATCTCACTTTGAATTAATTTATTAATAACATTGATAAAGCATAAAAAAAAAAAAAATTAAATACTTGAAACATTCAGAAAGTATTTATACTTATTATCTCTTTATAGTTCAACTAAGGCATAGTTTAATATGAAGATAAATACATAATGTATTTTCAGCAGTAGTGCTAAGCCATTATGTCTAAACATTATGATTTAGAGTTATTTTGTAAATTCATTTTAGCATAAATTTTATGCTGAATTAATTTGTTCTACTTGACTGTATATCATTTGATAGTATGATGAAAATTAAATTTTCAAACCTTTTTTTGTCCAAAAATTGGGATTTAATTCACAGTTTCATATCACATGATTGGTGTTGATAGCTTATTATAATTTAATATTATATTGAACATTTATAAACTATTAGAAATTATAATTTTTTTTAATACCTGAAATCATTTAATTTTACCAAAAATTCTAAAAAGGACGAAAAATGGTCAGGATGTAAAGTGAAAAAAATTATGTTTATTGAGTTTGCCGACGACTAGACCCAAACATGTGAGTCATAAACAGGGCTTTAAATTAACAAATGATTTCTTAACAATTACCTTTGCATATTTGTTAATTTTTATTTCTATAACTTGTTTTTGCATACTTCTTATTTTTATTGTTTTATTTATACTAATTATTTAGTTTATTTATTTTTACTTTTTATTTATTTATAACACAAAAATATTTCCTTAGCATATTGTAATGTTCATATAACCGTTATCTCATGTTTTACGTTCTACCTCTTTCTCTTAAATACAAACTTTTATATTTATCATTTTTCTGATGAAATTTTAATTTGTAGCCCAGATGACCATGTTTGAGTCAAAATGTCGGCAAACTGAATAAACATTATTTTTTTGCTGCACATTCTGACCATTTTTAATCCTTAAAAATTCAACAGTCAATTATATATCAATCTCTAAATATCTAAAAACTTAATTCACCTTATTATCGAAAAATATTATTAAATTAATTTTAAATATCACTGCCCCAAAAATTGACTTATGGGGTTCTTCAACTCGGAGACAAATAATAAGAACAATAAAATAAGATTTCAAATTTCAACAAATAAGAACAAACAAATTTCAATGATAAAATAAGAACAATTAATACATTTTACACTACCAATATTTCCATCTTTTAGAAAACATAACCTTATGGAGGATGCTTTATATTATGTAGTAAATAATATGTATATATCAAAAAACAAAGAGAGGAAAAATGATCACTTATAAGCTGAAACCTTAGAGATTGAATTTAAAGTCAAGACAAAGAGACCAAATTCAAGTTTATAACTAATATTTAAGAATATAATTAGAAACAAAAACCGATTACTAAAAAATAAAATAAAATAATTATTAAGACGAAAAATCAATGAATGCACCGTACTTAATTTGACGATATGTATATTTCTGTATACATGACTAATATGAAAAATTAATGTGATTGACAATGATGCTGAAAACATAACAGAAAATTTGAGCTTGCACGTGTTAGTTTGTAAAATTTTCTCAAGTCCAATGAATTTTTAAAATAAAATTCTTAGACTATTTCAGGTTGAAAAATTTTTCCAGGTCCAGTAGCTACCATACATTAATTCCCACTGTTGTTCGGATTTGATTTAAGACAAAATCTTATATATTTTTTTCCCTGGTAACATAACAATGCAAATTCTCAGTTCAACAGTTAGCTATTTTAAACAGTTCGCTATTCTACACAAAAAAGAGTATTTTCGAACTGAATTTCATTTGCTGCCCTAATACTTTATAGAATGATTTTATTTATGAAGTTATGCATTAAAGAAAACATACCGTACAATATCATAAAACTTACCATAAACAAATTTCGGACAGTTGGGCTCATCCTTACAAGAAATGAATGGACAATTGACCACATTGTCCGAAAAGTAGTCCTTGTGGATACAATACCCATCACCACAAGTTTTGTATGTTGATGGAGCAACAGAACAATCTGAAAAATAAAATAAAATCTTTTAAAGCAGGTTTTAAATGATATTTAGACGGCCTCAGTAATGGCCATAATTATGTCAACTTGTAATGTAATAGGAAATATGTGACTACACAAAGATTACCACCTGAATTAAGTTAATGAACATTCTAGACCAAGAGTAAGTTTAGGTAAGCAAGATATTTGTAGTCACGGTGAGACAGAATGAATCTAGTATTTTTAACATGATGTTAAAAGTAAATAAGAAAGTTTTGCTTTGATTCCGAGCATGGAGGCCATAGAATTGTTGTTGTTGTTTTGGGTTTAGGGGCAAAAAACTGCTGACGGTTATCATTGCCCTCAAATTGTACTGGTTGATTTATTTTTCAATCATAAAACTACTATTATAAAATTAAATATGTTTTAAAAAATAATAATAAAAAAAAACAATATATAAATTACTATCGAGAAGAAAAAGAAAAGTGAGAAAATATAATTTAGTTCAGATTAGTTGAATTAACCCCATGTTCTTAATGAATTGAATGGTACTATCGATACGTTGGTCGTTATCTGTTAGTGCCTCACAGAGCTGACCAGTTACACCACGTCTTTCCATCTCTTTCCTGTAGCGAGGACACTCCTCAAAGATATGGCTCACAGCGAGAGCCACTTTACAGCCCGTAGAATTAATTATTATTGAGTATTACTTTATCTTATGTGTTTTATTCCTGGTAGTGAAGTTTATAAAAGTCAGTTCCAGTTGTTAATTGTTAGATGTGAAAGCAGATAATTAAAACATCAACTTCATAAAACTAACTAATTGCCAAATAAATAAAGTGAATTATGGATTTATATCTGTATATATATATTTTTTAATATATGCAAGAGTACTGTGTAAATAGGTCAGACTAATTAAAAATTATAATTATATTATCGATACAAATCATTACAATTATCTAATATAAATACAGAGGAAAATCTTAACAATACACATTTTTTGGTTTAATACAGAACTGAAGTCATCTGGATTTTTGAACACATATCTTAATGTCAATTCTAATAAAAGAATATATCTCAGGCATCATTCTCAAAAAGAGAAATAAAAAGATGAACCTTCTATATGAAAATTTTATAGCAGGTTACTTTATTTGGATATATGTTTTATTTAGTATGCAGAGATTTTTACAGTATAAAAATCTGGGCTGCGGTTTTTAATTACATTATTACAGATGGTAAACATTAGGTTCCTCTAAAGAGATTCCCAGTAACTGAAATTATTTCATAATGTCGTCTGTCTTCAGACGTAAAACGTAAAAATAATAAATAAAAAGGTTGAACTATTCAACTAACCCATGTAGGAAGTGAAGGCCATCTCAATCTCAATTGAAAAATTACGTTCAAGTTTGCGATTAGAGACATGTATTTGCACCTCGATTTCACCCTCCTTTGAAATATAAGCATTGAAGGCAACCTGAGAGGTCGGCGGAGGTTCATCTTTAACAATGCTTTCGTACTGATGAAGTTGGCCACAGTATTTTTTGCTCCACTTGTTATTTTCTCGTTCCTCACGATGAAACAATGAGAATATGTGTTTCTTCTTCGGTACAGACCGGAACTGAAATAAAAAATTTTTTATTATAGTACTCTCTAATTTTAGAAGTTTTTAATTCATCAAATTTAATCAATTCTCTTAAAGAAGAAAAAAAAAAACTTCAATTATATCAAAATATATTTTTTAATAATAAAAATATACAAAATAAAGTTCTGTTGTCAGAAATGATCATTAAAAGCCAAGTTCCACCCACCTCCCATTCTGACTAAGGGACAAAAACTCATTTCATTAAGAGCTGGGTGTGGCCCAGGAAGGTATGTTGAACTTGTCCAAAAAGGCGTTAGAGTAATGAGCTTAACAATAAGGATACCATACTAGTACAACAAATGTTTGAGATAAAATCATTTTCAAATATTTCTCGCATAACAAATGCCAACATTTCAGATCTAACAACTAAATTGAATTAAATGAATTTGTAAGTTGATTCTTAACTAAACAAAAATTTCAAAATAAAAAAAAAATGTCAGATAAGAAATATTAGCAGTTTTCATTGACATCTTTTTAATTAATTGTGGATTGGTGGTTGACTGTATTAAATATTGAAGAGAAGATTGGTTGGCGTGATCAGTAAAAAAATATTAAAAATAAATAAGTATATTTATTTTTGCCGACGTTTCGGCCCAAGATTCAGGCCTTCATCAAGGCTAAGAAAAAAACAGATAACAATATGTATGGATATAAATTCTGGATTTTTTTTTTTTACTAATCATCACCCCAACCAATCTTCTCTTAAAGATCTTTTTAGAGATAAAAATGGAATATATTTGAAAATTGATTAATGGGAAGAATATATTTAAGGCAATTTAAAAGGTAAAAAAAAAGTTATTTTCTTTTTTAAAAAAGAAGAATGAAATACTTTTTGGTGATCTAGAAAAAAAATTATTAAAATAAATGTTTGTTTAGGTTTCAAATATTTATAACATGGAATATAATGATACAAATAAGAAACTAGTGACAGCATGACCTGGGGATATGACCTTATGATAAGATTATAGCATAGTTGACTCAGTTGATTTTATCTTTTGTAAGAAATAATCAAAGGTCTGATGAGAAACGAAGAGTGTGTATTTTTAAAAATGAAAGGATTACAAACTGGATACTATACTATGCAAGGTAAAAATTATTACCAATGATGTTTAATTAAGAATAAATCTGAAACTCAAAAACAAACCTAATACTTTTAAACTACTTATACTGAAAGTTATTTCGAACTAAGCCCCAGAATGTATATCTCTCTTTGTTCTCTGGTACACCTACTCTAACTCAAACTAATCACTCAATTTCAATTATATTTATATTAACTGAATAAGGCTGACAAATAAATTTTATTTTAATTGATATGAATTTTATGTAAATCATTAAAATTCATTTTTTTTCTTTCCCTTTCTGGGCTATATTGTTTATATTTAGTTCAAAGCATGAAATAATCTAAAATTCTAAAAATCAATGCTCAAGGTTAACCAAAGAAGGCTCAAACTTTGAAGGCTTCAGATACTTGTACTTCTATATGGACTTGACAACCTTCATCTACCTCACCAAAACTTAACTGTTTCAAATAAAAATTACTTTAGAGGAAAATTTTTTGCAAATTCAACATTTAAGTTCTGCCAGACTATTTCAATGAAGATAAGGCCCGGATGGTATTAAAGAGAATTTAATTGTACACTCATATGAGCCTTTCATTTGGCAGAATGACTAACTCTAATTTCAACATTTTTTATTACTAATTTTAGTGATGTTTCTAGTGGGAAAATGAATGCTTCATTCACAGTTCTATATTTTAACAATGCAATCACCTTCTCTGGAATCAACTTGTTCACTGTCTGTACAGATATTACAAATTTTTCAACAAGAAATATAACTAAAATAACTTTATATAAAAATGTTAAAATTGTAGTTAGTCATTCTGTCAACTAAAAGGCTCATATAATGAGTTTAATCAAAATTGTTAGCCATTTTCGAAAAATTATAAAAATGTGTATCCCACATATTGATTACCCATCTTATATATAAAAAATTTCTATCAATTATCAATATAAGTATCAAATTTTTTTCAAGAAACTTTAGTGTTCGAGATATAGAGGTTCGATTATACTTAAGAACTAACCTATATTTTAATTTGCTATAAAGAAACCGATCACCATAAAAGGGTAATAATTAGTATTAAGTTCATTTTTTACTTCAAATTCTTATATAAAAGTGAACTTTAGATAAAAAAAAAAAAAAATCTATTGGAATTTAGTTTGTATAATTAACAAATGTTGGAATTTTACTTCATTAAATTAATAGTTTGTTATTTAAATTTAAAGAATAATGAGAGTATGAGAAAAAATTACATATTAAAGAAACAGAAAATTAATTAAAGAAACACCTTATGTGTCGTGAAAATATCTGACAGTATGAACTAGGGAATGGGATATCTAAGATTCAATATCAATATTGTCATCAATATTAATATTGTCCTTTAACTACCGATACCATCAAAATATCGGACTTGAAATATCAATAGTCGATATTTTCATCAACATAATAAACCTTGTTGAAATATGAATATGAATATTGATTTTATAGTACATAGACTCATAAAAAAATATTTCAATTTAAATTAATTAATGGAATATCATTTTTTTTACTTTCCTTAGTAATATGAATTTTCTTGTTTCTGTCCAACTTCTACTAAGTTTCAAGTTTTTTCCATTCAACCGATTATGCCTTCCGTTCACCCATAGATCGGATTCAGCGAAATGCTAATTTATTTGTATTCTACACAGATTTCTTTGACAATTTGTGGCCTTGTTTTGAGAGGGTTCTAACTAACAATTTTGGGAAAATTCAGTTTACTGAGTGAGAAGGGTCCACGTGCGCTGATAAATTCTATTTAGGGACGGCCATCGATAGTGGATATTATTGACATATCGATATTTAGCTCTATTATGCACTACATTCTATATATTAGGGGCGGGGTGGCCGATTGGGCTAAAGCATGTGCACAGCACCGCAAGTTACCTGGCAACTGGATAACATATTTGAGAAGATTAAAACATACGAGTTCGTGTCCCAGTGCGAAGGGGATTTTAAGTCCTCACCCTTCGGCCAGGAAAATCCCGTATAGCCTAAAAGGCGAGGTAGGGAAGAACAGAAAAAAAAACTAAATTCTATATGAAACATGTAAAATGACTATAATTTTTTTTCTAACGGTCAAATTCATATATAATTCCTAGCGCTCTCCGAAAACAAAAGTTTTAATTTTAATTTTTAAATTAAAATATTAAAGGGGCGATATCGATAGTGGATAATATCAAAGTAGATGTTATTGATGGCAAAATATCGAATATCAGAAGGAAAATATCAATATTTTGATAATATCTACTATCGATGGTCATCTTTAAGTAGAGCTGAATAGCGTGCGTGGGACCCTTTCTCACTCAGTAAACTCATTTTACCAAAATTTGTTAGTTAAAACCTTCCGAAACCAAGGCCACAAATAGTCAAAGAAATCTATGTAGTATGCAAATAAATAAGCATTTCGGTGAATCAGATCTATGGGTGAATAAAGTCCATAATTGGTTGAATGGAAAAACGATGACGAAGATGGGCATGAACTAGAAATTTGATTTTATGGAGAGTAGAATAATTAATATTTTCATTAATTAATTTAAATAGGAAAACAACATGTATCTTTATGCACCTTTAGGGTAGAGAATCAATACTTATATTCATATTTCAAAACTGTTTATAATATCGATGAAAATATCAACTATCGAAATTTCAAGTCCGATATTTTGATGGCATCGATAGTACAGGCGATATCGATAACAATAACAATATAGATATTGGGCCTTCAATATCCTATCCGTAGCTTAAACGTGCCAATATATTTATTTTTCAAGTAGTGTTAATAGGCTTTCTAATATTATCTTTTTTAATTGTTCTTTTAATAAAACATTAATGCACAATATTTTATGTCTACCTAGTTTTTAAAAAATATAATATCTTTTTATATATATATATTTTTTTTAAATATTGTAATTAACCTTCAATTTAAAAATAATTAATCAAACCATTTTATTAATCTTTTTATTCGATTGAAAATAAAAAATAATTTTTATTTATATTTTTTTTGTCACTCTCCATTACCTTCTACCACTTTTTAGATAATATATTGTTTTTTCCTAAAATTTCCAGCTTTCTAACGATGTATCTTTTGACTATTACTTCCAGAAATTCATTTTTAACATAAATAAACATTTTTCATTTTTTCTGTTTTAATCAAGCATTGAAAGGCTATATTTATTACTAGTAACAATAAGAAATAGTTAATTGTTTAAAATAAGGCAAATTTAAGTTACTTTAGAGGAAGAAATTTTTAAACACTGGACAATTAAGCCTTGTTAGGCAACATCAATTTACTAGATATTAAAGACCATTTAATTATACACTAATATATAGAGTTTAATCAAAATCGTCAGAGCTGTTTTTGAAAAAATTGAGAAAACATATAAAATCGATGATATAAAGCGGCACTTCCGGTTAACTAATTTTAACAAAAAAGTTGCTGTAACATCACAACCATATCCTTCCTTAAAAAATTAATTTTGGATTTGTGCAACGTTTTGTTTTTGAGCTAGACTGTTCACATATACACATACTATTTTGAGGGATTTGGTTATTTGGATTTCGTGGACCTCAAAACGTGTATTTCCATTTAAAACACAGATTCGAAAATGTTCACAATCTCGATACATTCCGGTACTACATATTACAAATGTAGGTAAATGAAAGTAATAACATAAATTAATCGAGTTACAACCAACCTGAACATAGTCTATGCAAGCATCATTTTCTATGTCCCTTCGGAAGGACATTTTCTGTATGACTGCAAACAGTCCCATGCGATCCTTTGTCTTTACGATGAATCTACATTCAAAATCCCATCGTCCAAACCAATTCTTGAAATACTGGGTGTCCTTAATAATAATTGCAGATCGATTGTCCTTGCCAACACTCAGTTCCTTCGGTGGACCAGGCATCACGGGGCAAACCTTGTCATCTTCCAATGTATCTACAAAAAAGCAGTTTATTAAGTAATATGATATTACAATTAACAAATATTTTATGACTATTGCAAAAACAAGACTGAAACCCTCAGGTAGTGAGAGATTAACTTAACTAATTACTAGTAGAGTACCTTAACTTATTTATAGTACCTCATTTAATAATTGCTGAGACTTAAAAGATATTTTACGGTTTTAAGTAAATTGTTCTGCACTTTGTCTCTCGATCTGTTTTTATGTAATTTATTACAAACTTAGATATGAATTTTAATTTTTAATCCTAATCCAAAGCAGTGAAACAGATAGTGATGAGAAAATAAAATCAAAGAATTATAAAATTGTTAAACAATTAAATTATTTTAAAAAGTATTAGTGAAATTTTATGGCTAACTTTAGCTTCGATCCTCATTGTCTCATACTGCGATTTGCAATTATATTAGAGATACCGTTGATATTAAAAGAAGCCAATGTGAACTCAGACGAAAGATCTTTATGAAAATCAAATTTATTTTCAGCAGATCTGAGTTGCGGTTGGAATAAATGAATACAAAATATTTAAGAAATTTATTTGCTAGATCTCATACATTATTAGATTGTAATAACGTAATTATACATTTATTCACCTAAGTTAGATATATTCCTGAGACTGAATTACAATAAAACCTAATGTTTCAAGAATCATTTCTATCATACAAAAGCTTTCTCAAAAAAATCTTGTGTTTTAAGATTATATCGGAGCCAAAAGAGTGACATATATCCGTCACAATCAGCTACGTAGAGTAGAGCAGTCTCTGGTCTGAATAAATGGTGGTATTAGCTACCTGATACACAAATTTTCAGATCTCTTTTCAAGTATGCAGTGGCCTATTAGTATTTCGATAATCAATTGGATTTCATTCATATTTAGCCACTTGGTTTTAAATGTTTCGTTTTTTTAATTTAATAGAGACTTAATACCAAAAGGTTTCGATATAATATTAAACGAAATATATGGCATTCTTTACGTTAGGATCTTCATGAACATAACAAAATAAACAGGAAATTGATTTTCTGTACTATAGCAAACAAATTCGCTTTAATTTAAATAGTTAACAATGCTACTATTAAATTTGGCTTATAAATACTTTAAATGAATAAATGATAACCCATATTTTGTCTCCGTAAATAATGTAAGAAATAATAATAATACTCCATATGGTTCATATGAATAAGGAACAGTAATAAAATGAACAATTCTGAAGAAAAATCCATTGCAATATTTAATTCTACAAGATTCAGATAGAGAACTATGCACGTTTTTAAATATAATAAACAGGGATATACAGCCGAGATAAAAGGATTAATTATCAGGGTCAAAAGAGTTTAACAAGTTAAAATTTATGAATTGCAGTTAATTTTTGTCTTTAATACATTATTTTGAATGAGTATATGCAAATCGCTGCTTTAATATATGTTAAGTAAAGCACAGACAACTAATTATCTTATATTTCATCAATATATTTATTAAATTAACTTACCGCAGGTATTTCCCTCAACTATTTTCGCTTTAAGATTAATGATGTATTAAATGAATCCCATAGCAATTATAAATTTGATTATTGCTATAACACTGGGTATTGAAAGAAACAAACTGAATGTTTTAACTAAAAATAAATATTCAGATGATTCAACAAGTTTGCTTTGTTGAAGTTTCAAAACTGTGGTTATAGTTCAGAATGATAAACGACTAAGCAATTGACCTGAGAAGAATTTACAAACAGGCACAGACAAAATAAGGATTTGTTTATAACTTACAGTTGGTGTAGTGAGAAGATGTGAGAATCTTATTTGTGACGAGGGAGAAGGCGAACAAGATCTTGGTGTTGAGCCCCATCTGTTTACATGAGGCATATATCAATATCTAGAAATATTCGGCGAAGGAGGACAAAAGAGTTATCCCGTGAGTGGAGCACAGGCTAACCTTCTGCCATAACATTGCCTGACGTCACTGATGGGCGTCTTCCATTATCTCAGAGCAGGTAGCAAGATAATTTACGGTACAAGGCATTTTAAGGGCTTTTGTGTTTGCCTTAGGCTTTTAATGATACATGTCTTTCTCCATTGTTTCTTCTTTCTCCAGCTAACTGGGAAAACTCTTTTTTTCAGATTAGGCTGTCAAGTGCTTTGTTTACTCATGTGATAATATTATATTTATTATTCGAGTAGATACATGAGATATAACAATATTTTAAAATTAAACTACTTCAAAAGAAACCTGGTGAAGTAAATGGTCTTGGCATATTTCCAGTAGCAATAATAAACCTTTATACAATTAATAACGGCATTTGCTCGAATTACAGTTACCCAATTTTTAAGTATTTAAGAGCTGAAATTAATAACATATAAATCAAAATTTATTTTAATATATTCTGAGTCAGTAAGAAGTAACGATTCCAGGAAAACAGGTAATGATCATTTAAAAGGAAGGGGGATTCCTCATTACATCGTTGGTGAATCAGCTCCAGGACTCAGTTGCTTGAATGGTTGGTCGTTTTTGAATATTTTTATTTTGTTTTGTATGCAATCGAAAAAATTCGCTTTATGTTCTACATGTCATCTGGAATTTAATTTAGTTTAATATTTTTTTTTATGTAGCCCAACCAATAAATTAAAATTTAATTCAACATATTAAAATTTTATTAATAAAAAGGCCAGGAATGCTGATAAGTTATATGTTGCACAATTTATTGGGAATAGAGAAAATCAAAAATTCTCAAAAAGGGTGGCAAAGGAAGCTTTTTGCCTCTGGTGGCAGAATTTAGAGAGCATCAAATTTCGAGCGAAAATCGTACAAAGGATTTTACAGAAGTGTGGTGTCAACACGATCTGACATCTTCGGACGAGCTTTCCTGATGAAGGCTTGAAACTTAGCCCGAAAGGTCGGTACAAAATAAAATAATTTATAAAGGAAGGAGATGGTCTGGGGTGGTTGTCAAAAATAGGCTAAATAGCGGCTAAACTATTTTGTTAAAAGCGCACGTTTCTTCAGGGCTAGAACGGACAAGATACAAAATAGTTTTGCCACTATTTAGCCCATTTATGACCGCCACCCCGAAACATCTTCCTTTATAATCCAACGGTCAACTATTCAATATAAAATCATTTATTTTTCTCGCTGAGACTGCAACCTCCAACTAACTTAAGTAAACATCTTTGTTTCTGCTTTTTGATTGTTTTGCCCTTAATTCCGTCAATGAAAATTAATTAATGCGATAAGATGATGATGTTTATTTCGAAAATTGTTTAAAATATTATTATAAAAGTTTTGTATTTTATTTGGATGGAGAGGATGAATCAATATTCCAAAAAATGAAGCCAACCTCTCTGACGTTAATTCTAGTTATCGGCAGTGGCCTCGCGACCTTTTGTAGATTATATAAATTGGAGTTCTGGCAATGGCCAGATTCTTCACTCAAGACATGTGTGTATGTGGCTAAAGTGCTCTCGACCAATCTCCGCTGGCTTTAGTACCAGTGACGCGGTTGGAAGAGTAGCGCAGGGTTCTCCTGGAGTTCCCTCGCCTGATTGTATATAGGTATGCATGTTATTTTTTTTTCCTTAGTTTTAATTTTCTTATTTTTTAGGTTATTTTATTTTATTGTCTATTGTATATACTTTTGATTATTATTTTGTTCAATTTATTTTATTTTTTTGTACATATGGTGTGAATGTCATCCTACCTCACTATAACCAATGTCCAACAGACAGATTGTTATAATACTCAATAAAGAAATTTTAAAAAAAAATTCTAGTTATATTCGTTCTCAACTCTGGGAAGTTTGAATCATAGAAAAGTTACAACTAAAATTTTTTTTTTATTTAGAATTACTACAGTCTGTCACAATTAAGGACATTTATAATAGTGTTCAGAGCACTAGCGGATTCTGCCAGGGGGCGCGTCCTCCTTTAGATGGTGGAAAAAATTCAGAATAAAATGAATAAAGTGATGGAATAAGTTGAATAAAGTGAATAATTGAAGATAAGGATGGTTGGGGTGATCAGTCAAAATAAAATAGTAAAAATAAATAATTGTATTTACTTTCACGTATGTATTGTATGTGAAAATAGATACAATTATTTATTTTTACTATTTTATTTTGACTAATCACCCCAATCATCCTTCTCTTCAATAGTAATATGTAGGTGAAAGGTATAGTCTAAAACATTTAGGTAAAATAAACTTAAAGTAAAATAAAGTACGTAGAATAAATTTATAGGAAATGTAAAATAACGATAGCAAAGTTAAGGTTAGAAAGTAGCGGAAGAAAAGTATGGATATGTAACATAACGGTAACAAAGTTAGGAAATTATGAATAAAATAATAAAAAAGTAAGGAACAAATTCAGGAAATTATGAATAAAATAATAACAGTGACAGAGAACTATGAAACAAATAATAATGGCAACAAAGTTAGGGACTAACTTTTCTTCAGCTACTTTCTATCCCTAACTTTGTTATCGTTATTTTATGCTTCCTTTAACTTTATCCTACGCACTTCATTTTACTTTAAGTTTATTCTAGCTACTTTATTTTACTTTAAGTTTATTCTACCTATTTTTTTTTAGATTACACCTTTTATCTACATATTATTATTTTCTTTTTAATGTTAATAGTTTCTCATACCCATTGTTATCAGTAACCCTGAATTTGGGCCGAACCGTCGGCATAAATAAAAATGAATATAATTTATTTATTTAAAAACAATTTTTCTTTTTTTTCAGAACACCCCTCTTCATCTTCCTCTTTATCTTCGTCATAAAATAATATGAACTCGGTTGTTTGACTGAATTAAGGTCAAAACAACCGACAAATAGCAAAAGTATTTTTCACCTATCATAAATCAAAAATTTTCGCCCGGGGTAGGTGCTCCCTTTGCCCCTCCCTAGTTCCGGCCCCTATGACATTAGGCCCCGGAAGTGACAAACTTCCTTGACAAAGCCTGCTAATTTTATAGTTAGGTCAACACTGTTCTATCCTCCTCGTTATCTCGCATCCTTTATTCATGCATGAGGTTAAAAATATTCTTCATAATTTCCTGTGGTAGGATGATGCTCCCATCATCTGGCACCAGCTTACTACAGTTTAAATAATTCATTACTGCTTTCTTCAATATCTGTAAAGACCATTATCCTGAGAATCTGTGCCCTTAGAAATGGATGCCTTCTGTCTATCAATTTATATTCTGTTCATTAAACCCACTAGCGGATCCAGGATTTAATTTTGGGGGGCTTCAGCCCTAAAGCTTTTTTTTTTCTTAAAAATAATGATAATTACTTAGGAAAAAAAAAAAGAAACTAACTACCTATATGAAATGCTGTTTTAGTGATTCCTAAAGTCCTTTTAGATGTAATTACACGAACAATAATACTTTAAGAGATAATTTTTTAATATTTTTTTCCATAAAACATGGTTATATTTTACCATTTTGAGGGGGCTTCAGCCCCAATGCCCTCCCCGTTGATCCGCCCATGATTATACCTAGATTTGGTGTCATGAGGTTTTCATTTTTATAAATGAAGGCCATATTCCACCAATATTTTATCTTATCGTTTCGGCTAACACTGGGCCCATTTTCAAGTTTTAATTGAGTGCTTCAACTAAATATGCATATTCAATAACATTTTATTTACTTTGATAAGAATTTAAACTGTCCTAATATTTTAGGGGTTTCCCTTCGTCATCTATGGAGGGACGCAGTCCTTATTAAATTAAGATTACGATTAAAAGAAAATTGAATATGGATATTTGGTTGAGGACTCAATTAAGACTCGAAAATGGCCCTAATGTTGGCCGAAACGTTGTCTAGATAAAATAAAATGTTGGTGGAATATGTCCTTAATCTATCAATTTAGTTTGCTCGCAATATTTGTTTATTGGGCTCAAATTTCTTATATACTCCAACTATAGCGGGCGTTAAGCTATTTTAACCTGAGTGGTAAGATAAATATTTATTCCCTTGGCCCACCTTCAGAAATAAGTCAACACCTCCAGGGCAGGTTCTAATCGGTCAAGACAAGTGTTGGTCCTAAAGAAGTAAAAATTTGAATTCCCTTCTAAAAATTTCTACTTATAAGTCATAAAATAAATTTAACACTTTGTTTTGGAGTTTTTCATTTAAAAAAAAAAGTGTTTTATTAAACTTTGGGACCCCTTTGCCATGCGGGATCCTATGCGACTACTCGGCTCTCTTACCCTCTATGAATGTAAATATCTAAAACCATACATCGATGTTTCCAAATATGTATGGAAAAAGTAATTCCATGTATGGAAAAATATATCGGCCCTCAATGTTTTAAATCTTTGCAAGTAGGCGAACAAGATTAACATTGAATCGAAGTCTAAGATTATTAATAGCAACAATTAAATATTTATGTATTTATTAAAAATGAAATATTAGTCAATTAACATTTGTCAATAAAGAATACATAAACATATTTCTAGGTTCAAGAAATTTTGGAAACCAATAGTAGAAAAAACAAACAATTAAATAGCTTAAACGTTTAAAAAATAAACAAAATGATGTAAGTAAATAAATTATTAAAGCTCTACACAAATATAAATATTTATTATCGAAAAGATTTACTAATAAGAACTCTAAATTAAATAGTCTAACATAAAAAAATTAAGAAAATCAAACTTTATAACATATAAAGAGAATTTATATATTCAGTATCAACCAAAAATAATAGAAATTCATTACTAAAACATAAAAAAAATTGATTAAAAAACACCTATTTCTCACGTATTATATAATATACAAAATAATCTCAATTTTATGTGATAACTAGTGTGGTGATTTTACTTGTAGATTTTTTTGGTAATGTTTTATTTTGGAAAAAGTATTGGTGTTGCTAGTCCAATTTATTGATAAAATATATCTGCTAAAAATATTGATATTTTAATCTATCCACATTTTTCCAATATTACTGTATGATCATCCTATGCGTATAGGCGATTATTAATAAATTAAAAGTGTATGTTTGACTACAGAGTGTCCAAAAGGGGATTTTATGGAGCAAGTTGCGCCACCAAAATTAATGAGGTGGGCACTTTTTGACGGGGTTTTCAATTTTCGAGGGGAGGCAGAATCCGACGGGGTTATGAATTTTCAAAATGTAAAATTTCTGATCAAAAGAAAAGTAAAATCATGAAACAGACCACTGGATGTGTAATGGTATGTAATTTACGAATATTCAAATTATGCTTTCGCTTGCACTGTTTTTAAGAAGAAGAGAGGAATAAAATATCTTAGGAGGGGTGGGAGGTTTATGCGCCATCGGCCTTGGAGGGGGAGGGCACCCCTGTTAGACTATATAAGTAAACAAGCAGTATAAGGAACAATGATAAGCATAGTTAATTATTTAAAAAAAAAGATTTATTATAATCAGGAAATCGAATAAAACAAAAAAAATATTTTTTTTTTTAGAAAATGAAACCATTAGATTGGTTATATTAACTATATATATATATATATATATATATATATATATATATATATATATATATATATATATATATATATATATATATATATATATTCAAAATAAACATACAATTACAGTACATAAACATATACAAAAATCAGGAACAAACCTGGTTATCACTAAAATATTTACAAAACATTATTAAAATCAAGATAGATACAGAAAAATACAGAAAATAGATATAGATATATAAAAAAGGTGCAAATAGAGAAAATTATTTAAATTGAAATGATAATAATCAGGCTTGATTCTTAGTAAAAAATTATATCTATAATTAGTTTAAATTTTGGTCAGTCTTTGAAAAATTATTTTATAGAATATTGAAATGGCATTTTGTAGATATTATATCAATAATTCGAATGCACGGTTTTATATTAAGGATGTAAATAAGAAAGTGAATAATAAATATATGATGTTGTTTTTCATGAAATGATGGATTTGTATAGAAAGAGTTTATAGATACAAAAGTCTAATGTGTAATTGATAGTCTGTTCTATACGTTATAGAGCGGTATAACAACTGTTTGATTAACTCCAGGGAAGCCATTGCATTCTACAGGGCCTCCTTCCAACAAGTAAAGATCCTCATTGGCTCACTGGAAGTTGATGCCCTGAGCCAGGACAAGGCCTGAAGAGTAGTTGATGGTGACCGTGGACCTCCGCATGTACTGCTTCCAAGAATCGCTACCAGATTCCCTTCCACCTCCTGTTTCTTTCTCTCCTCCGAAAGCACCGCCGATCTCAGCGCCATTGGTGGGAATGTTCACGTTTACGATTCCACAGTCTGATCCCAAAGGCCCTATCCACTGCAATGCAACAAGTACATGAATTCGTATAATGCATTAATTTATATATTTATACACAAAGGCATAAATGAAAAAACACAATAGAGGTTTTTTCGAAATTAGTTATTTCTACTTTGCTATTTGAAAAATTAGTATGACTAAAATTGTGCTATAATGGGTCTGTTATGATTGGCTTAGTAGGTTATGTAAAAATTAACCTTTTACATATAAAGCTATCCTGATTGATTCTGTTAAAGATACCTTAAATAACGTAGGGATGTCTTGCGTAAAGATGCTAGAGGATAGACCTTGCTTGGCCTCGTTATTCCAGCGAATGGCCTCTTCGACGGACTTACATTTGAGAACGTAGACAATGGGTGCGAAGGTCTCGCTGAGTACCAGCGGGGAGTCGTGAGGCAGACCAGTGATTATCGTCGGCTCCACGTAGAATCCCTCTCTATCCATGACCTGGAATGATTGATTTTGAACAACTGTATGTCATGGAATAACGACCCTATAAGTTGTAAGGTACTCACTTTCCCACCGTACTCCACCTTGCCTCCCAGTGCCTTCGCCTTCTCAACGGCAGCCAGATAGCCTTCGACAGCTCGTTTGCTGTGGAGTGGTCCGTACAGTGTCCTTTCATCTAAGGGATCTCCCGTCCTCTTGACAGCTTCACCGAAGGCTCCCACCATTCTACCGAGAACCGTATCATACACCTACATCATAATTCCAGTCAATCCTTTGATCGTGGACACACTCTACACCTATGTTAAATCAACTTACCGCCTCATGGAGGATGAGCCTCCTTGTAGTGGTGCACCGTTGACCTGCAGTTCCGATGCAGGCAAACACCACTGACTTCATGACCATGTCCAGGTCAGCATCGGCTGCGACTACAATGGCGTTGTTACCTCCGAGCTCCAACAAGGAGCGTCCAAATCTCTCTTGCACCTTTAGGGCTACCTGTCAACACACATTTCTCTAAAAATTTTCAAATATCGTTTTTGGTTCAATTGTGTCACAAAAAGTAAAAAAAAAAAAAAACATTAACCTAACGTTCGATTTATTTAGAATGACATTATCGGTTTTCCAGTCTATACTTATGGTGTTATCATTATAGCTCCTCCAGAAGTCACTGACATATCTCTGTTGCAATATAGACATTTCATTTAGTTTTAAATGATGAATGAATCACATAGATTAAAATTATGTCCTAATTTGAGAAGCACCATCTGAGTGAGTAGTGTTGATAATCACCGGATCTGAAGATCGAAAAATCAAAAGTAAATAATGTAGCTTTACTTTTTTTTTTTTCTTCGTCTGATTCAACAACCATCACATTTATCCGTATGGATATTCCTCTCCAATTAGTAATTAGTCTAAGAGTATCCAAGTAAAAGTCCAATCGATTACTTTATTCTAAAACTATCTGTAAGTGTTGGCATTCAGTAAAGGTTGTAGAAATGAAGACGGTGATACCATCCCGAATCCAATCCATACCCTTACGTCTTTTAGTCCAGTCAAAATTAACTCAAACTCAAGAGTAAATAATAGATCCTATACTTCTTTTTTTTTTTTTTTCTTCCATTTACAAATTTTGTACCTCAGTGTTATTACTATGTTCCACCTTCCCCCAACACTGTCCATCAAGATCCGAACAATGTTGTGCGTACATTACCTGCTTGCCGGCCGCACAGCTGCCAGTGAAGGAGACGAGGGGGAAGGTGCTGTCCGCGGTGAGCGCGGCTCCGATGCCCGGCCCACCGACGAGAAGGGAAGCCACGCCAGGGGGCGCCCCCGCTTCCTCGAGGACCTTCGCCACTATCTTCATCGTGGCCACCGCCGTCAGGGGAGTGCTCTCCGCGGGCTTCCAGACCACCGTGTTCCCGCATGCCTGTGGAAAAGCCTCTGGTTAGTACAACTAAACTTCATGCTCTTACAGACTATTACAAGATTTATTCTTCTAATAACCAAACCTGAGGAGAAATATTTTTGTCTGTAACCAGTTGGATTTTATCTAGCCAATTAAACAAAAAATGAATTGTTTATTTTAGAATAGTGTCTTATTTAAATGTGTAGAAAAGGCATTTAAAAGTTCTCATAGGATAAAGCATTTAAGAAAACATCGCCGAATTCAAAGTGGTAATTGATCATAAATTTACTTTTTGTCATAAATGAAACTAATAATTAATACATAAAGTCTATTTAATTCAAAACCAACTAAACATTGAAAGAAAAATTAAAATCAAATTACAAATATTTTCATTTCAAAAATATCAACTTCATCTGATGGTAAAGGTTCTACCTATATGACCGATGGCACAGTTGTTATATTCTTGAACAAATGCCAAGTTCAAGCAAATACTCCAGGAAGACTTCAGAATGAAGAACTATTGTATTTTAACATGTGAGCAAAATTGTCACAAATTGGGAAAAGAAGGAGTAATAAGAACTACGTCCCTTGAAATTAATTAAGGACTGATCAAAAGACAGACATACACTAAGCTGGTTGAATTCGGCCTAGCAAAACGTATTACTTATAATTAACTGGTTCAAAAATTATATTTTAATGTGTAATTTATAATATAGAAATAAAAAAATCAAAACACAAATACAGTTGTCCTCTAACCATTCCTATAGCTGAGTTCCATCCGAACACAGCGACGGGGAAGTTAAAGGCCGTTATGACGGCGATCGGTCCCAGAGGATTCCACTGCTCCATGAGGAGGTGGCCCGGGCGTTCTGAAGGGAACACTCTTCCCGCATATGTTCGAGAAAGTCCGACGGCGTAGTCGCAGATATCCACGAACTCTTGTACTTCACCGACTCCTTCTGCCTTTATCTTACCTGTTTTGGAAATAAAATACAAATTTTCTTGCATCATTACATGTATATAATCCATTATGGCCTAGTGGTGAATTGTATATTACAAATAATAAAGATGATTTTTATCTAAATCTAGTAGGTAATACAGATGACTGATCGAAATGCTTGATGATGATGAACGTACCCATTTCCAGAGAGACCAGGTCGCCGAGGTCCTGGAGGTTGCTCCTGAGGGCATCGCCTATCCTGCGGACGACCTCCCCCCGCTGCGGGGCCGGCAGAGAGGCCCAGAGGGGCCAGGCGCTCCTCGCAGCCTCCGAGCAGGCTCTGTAGTCCTCTGGCCCGGCTGTGGTGACCTGGGCGATCTTACGTCCGTTCGCGGGGCACACCGGCTCTATAACCTGTGCCATTGTAAAATTCAAAATAAATAAATAGGTAATTTATTTTTAAGAGATTGTTCGAATTCTGCTTAGGAGAGTTTTTTTTTGGGTCCTCCTCTTCCTTGCATTTAAGGCTATATGGGGTTTTCCCGAACCAGAGGGTGTGGGCGGGGATTTAAAAGACCCCCGGCACCGGGACGCAAACTCGTGACTATTTTTAAATCCATTGTCTCATAGATCAGGTTGCCGGCCAACGACGGTGCTGTGCACAGAGGTTAGCCCGTTCGGCCACACCGCCCAGCTTAGGATAGTTGACTTTTACTTCATGGCAAACCCAAGATATTATAAAACTCACCTATTTCCCGCTATATACTAAGATTTTAATACTAAGATATTTCCATCTTCCAAAATTGGAACATCAAAATAAGATTATATGGTGGAAGTAATCGTTGAGATAGTTTTGATCGCTTGATTTGAAGTCAAAAACAGTATGCTAGTTTCGCGCGGTCTTTCGAGACGAGTTCAACTTCAAGTTCAAGAGCATAAAAGATAAATTTAATTTTCTTTAATTCTTTAAATAGTTTTCGCGTGGAAGCGGCATTTTTGAGTTATCCATAAAAAATAAAATAAATTTTACGAATTTATTTTTATTTATCAAATTTCGCTCAACAATTTTTCGCCAACTTGTTGGTTTCTTTTCCATTTCCGTAGAATGGTTACCGTTATTCTAAACAAATTCTGAAAAAGCAATCTCTAACGAATTTCGATCAATAAAAGTTTTACCTTTTAAAAAATGGCCCAGATATCTAAAAATGATGGTAGGTAGATGAGTGATCTGGAGAGCAGGGTGTAAAAAGTTTATTTCTGTTTCGGAAAATAAAGGCAGCGGAAATTTCATAACGACGATTTCTATTACGGTCGTTTAATGCATGAGGAACACAAGTCTCAAGTTTCTTACTTTTCTAATTGCGTTGAGGGGCCTGCGATAGTCGATTTGCTAACTGGGAGTTTCTCTACAAGTTCTTGAACAATTGATTTTATTCAACCAAAGCTCGCAGAATCATCAAGGGAAAATGTCCTTCCACGACCATTTTCGTCTTCAAGATTGAATTCAATCTTCAAAAAATGTTTTAAATCACTGATTGGTGGACTGAAACTGCCAACAGGTCGGTCGCGTGAATTTTTGGCGTATGGGGCGAGATTTCACCGGGCGCCTCAACTCATAAAAATACTGAGGGATGAGAATGCTGTTTCGCCCCCTCCACTTATAATTTGAGGTAAAAAAAAAATAAAATAAATAATAAATAAGCTACATGAATGAATAAAATGTGTAAACTCAAATCGATCAGAAAAGTCGACTAGCTGTAGTGTTTCCCAAAATCGGTCTTGGTCTTGCACTTTGTAAGTCCAAGGCTAAGGCCGCCTAACTGTTGCAAGACCAAGACCAGGACTGATAAAAAAAAAATCGATTTTTCAAAACAAAAATTAAGGCAAAATAGTTACTAATGCTTGACAATCTTAGTTACTATATGTTAATAATTGGTATAACCAATATACATTTGCATTTAACTCCTCTAATGTTTCATTTGGGCTTAGTTATGTTTCTCCTATCTAAAAAAATACAGAACTATCTCAATAGCAATAAGCTTATTAGTAACTGCAAGGCTGTTGCGAGGTTATTGCGCAAGACCAAGACCATGATCAAGACTGAGTTCGCAATACCAAGACTCGTCTCAGTCTCGCATTTGGGCAACACTAACTAGCTGGCTAGGCTATGGCGTAGTAGTAGATATGTAACTATTTGTTTGTTACCTAAATGTTACTTTTATTTAAATTTTCATTTATATTCAAATATAGTAATATACATCAATCATAAAATCCTAGGATTTTCATTTTTTGTTGAAAAAGTTCTAGAAATGTTTCAATATCATGAAACCTGTCTCTCCTCTCCCCTGTGTTGAATCTAAATAAATACGCTCTATATTAATTGTATTTTCATTTTGATATTTTCAAGAACATGTAATAAGTAAAACAAAAAAAAAAAATCCTTACAACTTTACAAACATATAAACAGATTAATTTTAAATATTCAATATGATAATTGTTCGTTTCACAATAGTTGTATTTTTAGACAGAATACAAACTCCCGCCATTTTTTTTAGTACATCACCTCACCAATCAAAATTGAAAGACTTCGTCTATGTCTTAAATAAACAAAATAAATTATCAAGTTGAGTAGGTTCTTTTAAGTTCTGTCCTACCTAAAATAATAGGGTATAATGATGATAGGATATTTTGCGTTTGATATACTTTTTCTAGATAGTAATAGGATGCAGGGGTGCACTTCCCCCTCAAGGTCAATGGCGCAAGAACCTACCCCTCCTCACAAATTCTCCCAAGATATTTTATTCCTCACCTTTCTTAAAAACAGAGCAAGCTAAGGTAGAATTAGAAAAAATGTAGATCATATATAAATATACTTGCTGCAGTCTGTTCAATGTGTTACCCTTGCCCATTAGTCCGAAAATTCATAATCCCGTCGAAATTTGACCCCCTGAAAAATTCAAAAGCCCGTCAATATATGCCCCCCTCAAAAATTTTGATGGCGCAACTTGCGCCATGAAATCTCCCTGGGCAACTCTGATAGGGTGTATAAAAAAATGACCGTTTTTCAACCAAATATTTGTATTATTATTTCTTTGATATAAAATACAATTAATACTCAAAGTATAGTTCATTGTTATCTACCGCCATTAGCTATCTGCTAGCCAATTGCTCGATCACACGCTGATACCATTCTTTGGGATGGCTTTCAAAGAACTCTTGGACCGCAATTTCGAAATAATGACATGAACTGGCTTGAAGAGATACTACTCAGCGGTAGCATTCCCTAAATAATTCTAGGTGAGAAGATCACGAGACGCCTAAGAGGGTTATCAGGAATCGAGGAAGAAGCAAGGATGAAAACAAGTGGATTCGGATGTGACTGAAGTTTATCATGAAAGGATATATATCTGGCTCGGGTTAAATCAGCGATATTTAAGATTTTTATTTATTTAAGTACATTAAGACCTTTATGAATGGTTTTATTGTAACAAAATCCTGCAGAGGAAATTGGCGAATGATGATCACATTTACAATATATGCCAAAGGCATTTGTAAAGTTTTTCAGTAAAGAAATTATTATTATTTCTGACAAAGTATGGAGCACTATAGATTTCGCGAAGACTTTTCGATTGTAAGGATTGGATACAATAGGAATTCGATGGTTTGGTGGAGCCCCAAAGCTCAACTCCATATAGGTCTTATTATAGTTATGTAGATAAGTCTTTTGTAATTAATTGAATGTTTGGAGCATTTGTCTAGTAAGTGCTGGAGCAGTCGGAAACGTCGAGCAGTTTCCTGTCGTTTCAGTCTTGTGTGAGGATTCCAAGTGAGACGTTTATCCAAGTGGAGTCCTGAGTAGCGGGTTTGCTCAACAGGAATAAGTGGAGTATTACTGAAGGATACTGTAGGACAAGAAGTCATAGGTTTACGACGGAGAGTAAAGGAGATTTGATGGGATTTATTGGACTTTATTTTTATTTTCCAATTTCACACCATTCTTCAAGGCTTGTGATATGTGATTGAAGTGTCATTATTAACAGATAGCAAACATGTGTCATCGGCGTAAGTGGTGATGACAGTGTCAGGATGTGTTGGGATGTCAGCTGTAAATTTAAAAAAAACGTATTTTTTTTTAAACACCCTATTATTAAAAGACTTGATAATGAAGACGAATTTTATAAACACAAAATATCTGCTTGAAATTTTAAATGCTATACTTGAAAATAATAATTAAAGAACTGTTAGCCTAGATCTTTTTCGATTCGATAAATTGGCATTTTGGTGTTCTTCCTTCTGGAAACAAAAGGCAAGCATTCCTGGAGAGTGAGTAACGTGATCTGAATCAGTCTACCGCACTGGATGTTTGGCAAATGTCTACTTTTGAAACGTACTTACACCACAGGAGTCCCATGTTTTTAAACAAACCTTCAACATTAAAGCTAAATTTAACATACCTACTCATTATTTTGCTATTTATACATGTATTAAATAGAAACTGAGTCATAATTGAAACGAGCTTAAAAAACGCTATAAGATAAACATTTAACAAAATTTCGAAATTGATGACAGATATCTGCCTTTCATAAGAGACCACTCACATGTGTTTACTGTATAGCAGACTTGGACAGTAATTCAAATAAAATATTTTAAAATACATTAAATGTATTTTATTATGTATTTTAAATACATTACCAAATTGATAAGGCGCTTTAAGTTAACAATAAGTCTGATCGTTCGTACAAGAACTCTTTCATGAAATTTTTTTAAGGTCGATGTTGGTAAAGTTTTAATAAAATTATCTTTGATAATAAAACTGGTAAGTATTAGTTCTCTAATTGGTTGGATGCTCTCAGAATGAAATTATTGAACGATCGATTCTTTTAGGAACGAGTATTATTAAAAGCTAATTGCCAATAAATTTAATTTGAAATTAATGTCTAGATACTCTGTTTATTTGTTTGTTGGTCAATTATAATATTTTTAACAAATTTTTCTTTTAAAAAATGTATTCATTGAATAAAATATTTTTTTCTTAATTGCTTTAAACGTTTCTGCTTGTTAAAAGCTTTTGCTTCAAACTGTTATAAAACAATACCCTCTGTACCATCCTTTCATAACTGCCTGCCTTACAGAAAAAATAAAATGAGTAAATAAAACAATTTATTTATTTTTTTGGAATCAGTTGTAAAGTGCAACAAGTTACTATGGATATAAGTATTTTGTATTTGTATTTTAAATACAAAACACTAAATGTATTTTGTATTTAAAATACTTTATGTGTAAATATATTATATGCATGGTAATTAAAATACACTATCTTAAAAACACAAAATACGTTGTATTTTAAAATAATAATTAAAATCTTAATGAAATACAATAATAGTATCGAATTTATTATATCGAAGAATTTAAAT